ACCCCCTGTTGAAGACCCAGGACTTAAAAAAATTACCCTGTCAAAAAAAAAAATCACCTGCCATGATTTTTATTGTTTTCACAGATGAAAAAAAAATTAAAAAAATATTTTAAAAATTATTTTTTAATTTGTTTTGTTTTTATTTTTTTTATTTATCAAAAATATTTTATTGTATTTTATTTCATTTAAAAAATACTATGAAATTACTAAACTAGAATTTGGCGGCCCACCTGTTGAAAAAAATCACCTGCCAAAATTTTTAACTTAGGAAAAAATTCTTTGCAAAACTTTTTCCTACCTAAAAATCATTTAAGGAACTTAGAAAGATTATCCTGGCAAAACCTTTTTTTCACCTATTTTTAAGTCAAAAACACAGGAGAGACATCAATTTAGATCAGACCTAGAAATATGAATCACCAGAATTTGTTTTTCTCATTTGCCTCTCAGAGCTTCCATAATTTTCCTATCTGACTGCAACATACTGTTTCCTGTGTGTCTCCATCCCCCCCATTCTTCTTCCTGCTGTCTCCCCCATCTCTCCCTTTACATGTATTCACAGAGACCTTCCTCTGAAGCCCAGCGCAGAGACTCAGGCCTGTGTGAGCTGGCTTGCTCATCTGATGGTACGAAACCAAGAGGAGGGCTCTCTGACCAGCCCCTGGTCTCTGATGGCCTGCCTGTTGCTGCAGGCTCCCACCACAGCTTTAACAAAGGAGGGTCTGCTGTGGCATCAGCTCACTGAGAAAACCCTCTGGCTCAGGAAGCTGGCGCTGGAGTTTGGGGCTCGTCTGAACTGGCCTGGTGGGTGGAGGAGAGGATAAATGGAGTTTTATATACTTGCTGTAAATATTGTATCATGATTAGTTTAAGTGCTCTTCCTTTAATGAGTCTTTTTAGGAGATTTATTCTCATTCCTTCAATGACCAGTAGGTGGCGTATGCATATTGCATTCAAGGGAACCAGACAAAGTTAATGCAGAAAAGTAACTGAGTAGAATCTGTCTGCGTCTCATCTCGGGGACACTGAAGGCTCCTTCAGCCCGGTCTGAGGTAGATCAGACAGATTAGATGAATGTGAGTTGGCACAAGCGTTCAGATTCACTTAGCAGCTCCTCAGTGGATTTAAGTAAGTCATCCTAAGAGGACCCTACTGAACCGTCTCACTTCACAGGTCTCGTGTGTGTGCAAATACACACACACAAAATACAAGCTATTCTGAGGCTGATGCAATAAGCATAAAATCCGAACTACTCCTTAAACAGTGATAATGTGGACGCCGTTTTCTGCAGGACAAGCGTCTGACTCTGATGTGATGTCATCCACCGTGGATCTTCATGGCTCCATAGTTCACCGTAAAGCAGGGCGTGTCTACCTGGTGCAGGAGGAACAGCCTGAGAGGAGGCGTCCAATCAAGCCAGAGGAGGATGTGATGAGAACAGCGGCGGCGGTGCTGATGCTGGCCTCCTATAGGAATCAGTGCCTGCACGTTTTTCTGCGTCCCGCCTTGCTCGCCACAGCCATGCACGTCACAAAGAGCACACAGAGAGGTGAGAGTTAAACACAGTGTATTTCTCAACTCACACACTGAAAGATTTTTTAATATATCCTCCTCCGTTCTCTTCCCAGACGAGCTCGACGCCTTCTTCTGCTTCCTGCAGGACGTCTTCTCCAACGAATTCATCTTCGTCCCTGGAAAGTCATCTCAGGTAACAGCCTCATCTTTCAGGGCTCAGCTTCCTGCGGGCATCTCAGGACAAAGATCCCAAAGAGGATTATTGTCCTGTTAAACCGTGGTAATAAAATGTTTAGCGCAAACATAACAACAGCTCTGACAACTGAGCACGTTCAGGCTTAATGTGTGAAGTCAGAGCAGAGTCGGGTCAGGAACATGCATGTGCAGGCGTGTGTGCAGCACTGCACGTCTAAGAGTCGAGACTATTGTTGGCTTGTGTGTATCTGCCTGCTGATATCTGTCTTTCCTTCAACCAGGACTTCGAGGAGGCGTGCTTCCTCCTGAAGAAGAGTGGAGCAGTCCACATCAGTCAGCAGGAAGTGACTGTGTCAGACGCAGGAAGGGAGGTGTTATCCTTCCTGCAGGCGCTTCTACAACCCTTCATAGACTCTTATCAGGTCCTTTGACTTTTGCCTCCTCAGATCGAGATAACGCACTGTGCACATGTTTCAGACTGGACTGTAGCTGCCATCGAGGACACTGAGGCCATGACCTCTCTGTCTTTAGCAACCCTGGGGTAGTTCACATCAGTGGTTCCCAACTGGTGGGTCATGGTCCTAAAGTGGGTCACAGGTGCCTTCTAAATGGACCACAAGTGACTCGGGAACATATTAACTTTTTAAAAAACACTTTATTTTGAAGTACAAAGTATGACGCTGAATATAATAAACTGTGTGGACCTTAAACTAATGACTATGGAGAGATCTGGACCCTGTGGCGGGACCAGTTGGGAACCACTAGTTTGCATTTTTACATTTTTTTTGGCTAATTTCAGTATTTTTAGTTTTATTTTTTAGTACTATATGTCAACAAACAAACACAATAAATAATTCAGTATTTCTTAAACTCAGTGTTATACCTGGTAGGTCGGAGCAGGCACTGAAACAGAATTGTATGGAAGCTTAATGCATTCACTTTAGAAAAATACTTGCCCTGTTTTTCTGAATTCGCAAGATTATCATTTCAGGATTCTGAGTAAAGGTTTCAAGGGGGGAAAATCTGCTTGTTTTTATGAATTAACAAGACAGTAATCTTTATGATTTGCTTTAATTCACAAGAAATTAGAAAAGAAAGTGTATTAACAAGAAAATCTTGTTAATTCTTTATAATTCTTGCTTTTAATTCTCATTCTAAATTAATGGGATAATCAGTTCTCTTTTATAAGTTGAAATAATTATAAATAAATATTTACTTCCAGGTAACTTCTTGACATATTATTCAGAAATTACAGCCCTCCAAAAAAAAAAGTGCTCCCAAATCATTTTCCAGCAAAAATGTCATAATGCTATGGAAGCTAAAAGGTTTTATTCGAGAAAAAGGTTTTCGGAATTTAGAAGATGATAATCTCTTTTTCTGACTTAACGAGATAATCTTGTTCATTCTCATTTAAGACATAATGTCATTAGTCAGAAAAACAGAGGGTTTTTTTGTTTTGTTTTGTCAAGTGAGCACATTTAGCACAATTTCAGGGCCGTTATTTCTTTATAATTTTCCAGGATGTTACCCAGAAATAAATATTAATTTCTACTAATATAAAATAGAGATAAAGTTTATTAGTTATAAAAAGCAAGATAATGTTGTTAATTCTTGACAATTCTTGTTTTTAATTCCCATTCTGAATTAATAAGATAATTAATTCTCTTTAGTAAGTACAAATAACTACAAATAAATATTTACTTCCAGGTAACTAACTGGAATGTTCTTGGGAAATTACAGCCCTTTAAAATAAAGTGCTCCCAATTCATTTTCCAGGAAAAACGTCTCATTGCTATAAAAGTCAGAGAAACAGATTTTATTTTTTTATTTATTTTTTATTTTTTTGTCAAGCGAATACATTCAACTTTGGAAGGATTGAGACATTTTTGTCTGAAAAAAAATTGGGAAGAAGAATTCAGGGCTGTAATTTCTCTAGGAAGTTACTTGGAAATAAATATTTATTTGTACTAACTATAAAGAAAATAGAGATAAAATGTAGTATTTAAAAGCAGTCACTAAGCGCTCTGTTTAAATGAAACTGGCATAAATTATATATAAAATTTCAAATATTTAATTAAAGAAATGTTTTTCCCATCCCAGTGCTCTTTAAATCAGGAATATTTATTGTTTATGTTTGTTAAATGTTAAATTATTATATCGTAACCATACCTATGTAATTAGTGGAGGTTTGGATGTGATCAGAGACACTCCCTCTGTGACTGAAAAATGCTGTTTGGGTTGTTACGGTAGGTCACACCTGTTCTGGCTGACATGCCATGATGCTGATTATTTATAGCAGGTTTCCACACAACCATGTCAATCTTTGCTTTAGTCGACTAGTGTTTTTGGCTCTAACTACAATTAAGATGTTGGATTTTAAATATTATAATAGATGGTTTATGTCCTCCTGTTTGATGGGGTGTGTTTTTCTGTCCAGGTGATGTTCAGGTACCTCTGTGAGGACGGAGTTAACGTGTGCTCTGAGAAACACTTCTTGCCTGCTGTGCGAAACCTGGCGACAAAGCTCATCCTCTCAGGTGAAACAGAAAGTGACCTCTGACCTGCAGATTTAATCTCATGCTGTTAAACTGTTCCCCATAATGATGTCTGTGTGTTGCAGGTGAGCTTCACACCTATGAAGCCCTTTCGTCCGACACACAAAAGAACGTCCTGTCGGCCCTGCGGAGGCTGGAGACTGTGACAAAGTTGGGGGCGTGAGTAACGAGATTAGCCCCTGCAAATCTGTTTGCTTTTAAGCTCATTTTCTGTGGTGGTTGAGAAGCTGTCTGTATTTCTGGTGCCAGTGTTGTGCCTGTTGAGTTTCTCTGTCTGTTTCCTCCTCACAGGACGGAGCAGAATGAATTCAGAGTGAATAAAGCAGCTGTCAGAAGAATCGATGACATTCTTTGTGAGTCACTTCAAATATGACTGATCTTGTTTACCTCACTGCCTTTAAATACTTTTAATATTACTTAAATATCCTCGCCTCGTTGGTAAGGTTTTGTTTTTGCCCTTGCTTGTGTTTATCGCCTCAACTAACAGCACCCTGAGGGATTTATGTTTTCTTTTCCTCTCTCACTGTAGCTGGGAAAATCCCTCCCCAGATGCTCCAGACTACACCTGACGCAAAACTTTAGCCTCCGTTGGAACAGATCCATCTTCAGTATCAGCTCACAGTCCTGTTTACCCTTATGTGACCTTTTCCTCCATCTTCCTTTTCTTCCCTCCGTGCCTTTATGCAGCAATCGTTAGAACTGCTGCATCTTAAAGGGACAGTTCATCCTCAAATCAAAAGTACATATTTCTCCTCTTACCTGTATTGCTGTTTATCAGTCTAGATTGTTTTGGTGTGAGTTGCAGAGTGTTGGAGATATCAGCTGTAGAGATGTCTGCCTTCTCTCCAATATAATGGAACTAGATGGCACTCAGCTTGTGGTGCTCAAAGTGCCAAAAAATACATTTGAAAAACTCAACATCAATGTCTCTTTCCAGAAATCATGACCTGGTTACTCAAGATAATCCACAGACCTTGTGAGCAGCAGGCGTGGACTGGCAATTGTGAAGTTTGGGAATTTTCCCAGTGGGCCGGTCATGTGAAGACTAGGGTTGCAACGATGTGAGATTTTCACTGTATGATAACCATCTTAGATGATGCTGCGCTTTCATGGTATCACAGAATTTATATTATCATCAGTCAGAGTGACCCGTAAGGAATAAAACATAAGGGTTATCTTTGGTTGAAGAAGCGTTTTCTTGAGTCATCAAAACACCAGAGTCGTTGGGCAGTGACTTGTGGCGTCAGAAACCAATGAAAAAAAGCCGTCTTTTAATGTCGGCATGATGCGCGCCCTCATAATTTAATTGGCCTGGCGGCGTCAGGAGGAAACGTGGCAGGACAAGGACTAAATTTGAGGCAGCGAAAGACCAGCTGGGGCGGTGGATGGGTCCATCAAAACACCAACTTTCACCCAGGAGAGCGGCGTTTGAGATTCTAAAGCCAAACCCTGTTCTTTTTTCCTAAACATAACCACATGCGTTTGTTGTTGGAGGGGAAAAAAAGTTAGTTTGTGGTGTTGTACAGACGTAGTGTGTTTATTTTGAAAGAGACTGTATGTAAACAGTAAATTTCCTGTGAAAACAGAAGTGTATTTTGAAAGAAGGCAATGCATGTGACAGGCAGAACTTGACATGGTGTCCCAGGACCTCAACAACCAACGCACCCAGGGTACCTTGCACGTCGTATGTGGACGCGGAAGTCTACGACCAAACGTCGATATGTGACGAGGTTGGAGTGAGAATGTGTTGTTTTCTTACTATAATTGAAACCTGAACCATTTTTTTGTAGTTGGAAGTATGTATAAAGACTTTCCCTTTTGAAAATAACCAAAACAAAGGTGAGCTTCTCCGTGTAGTTCCAATTTTTTCCCAAATATCGGAGATAAGCAATTGTACACGTTACAATAGCGTTAATTTTCATATCATGATATACCTTAAAACTGGTATACTGCTGCAACCCTGAAGACCGGCCCCTTTTCCCTAACCCTGGCATTATTTAACCTTTGTTAACACCTTATTTACAAACCAGACTTGGTCACATGTGTATCGTTCTGCCAACTTCACCAAGTGCATGGCTAGCTCTCCCATTTCAAAGCATATACCATGAGTCTGGGTGCACTCTATCATCAGCTAATTTGTCTATGTAGATGCTAGTGATGGCTGGCCTGGAAAATTTGTTTAAAATTTGGTGTAGCCTAATAATTTGGGGCACCTTGACAGCAAATTCCCAGGTTGTTGCCAGTCCGTCCCCGGTGAGCAGCTTCATGTAGGAACTATTTTCTTCCTGCCAAACTACACCCACCAACTGTATCAATGCACAGAAGGAAGTATGCATCTACTCATGGACGAGAGGCTCAAGGTCATGACAGCGCAAGATGTAAAAGTAAAGACGTCTTCTTTGCCTGAGCTGTAACGTTAGCTAGCTCAGTGGTGCTAGGTGAGCTAGCGGTAGATGCACGTTTCCTTCTGCATGGTGATATGATTTGCGGGTGTAGTTTGGTAGATAGAAAATAGTTCCTACATGAAACTGCTCACAACAAGGTCTGTGGATTATCTTGAGTAACCGGGTCATGATTTCTAGAAAGAGACATTGATGTTGAGTTTTTCAAATGTATTTTTTGGCACTTTGAGCACCACAAGCTGAGTGTCATCTAGTTCCATTATATTGGAGAGAAGGCAGACATCTCTATAGCTGATATCTCCAACACTCTGCAACTCACACCAAAACAGTCTAGACCGATAAATACCACCATAGTTAAGAGAGAAAATATGTACTTTTGATTTGGGGATGAACTGTCCCTTTAACTCTGCGCTCTAAGTGCTCAGACAGAATATCCTGGACGCCAGCGGCCAGACTTAACCTGGCACCATTCCACTCTTGAATGTTACCCCCCCCTCCTCTCTGTGTCCTTGTTCTCATCCCTTACATACCTGATAAAGCTACAAACACCTGATGCGGTGACAGTGCTGCTGATTTTGTTTGATGGCTTTAGTCGGAATTAGTCTGTAAGGAAATGACCGATGTGCCAGTGATGCCTGTGGATCAAGATACTGAACTGTGACTGTGTTTTAATCAGTTGTTAGTATATTTTGTCCTGAAGATATGTTGGTGATTGATAATGAGAGAATGAATAGAGCACTTTAAGATAATTACAGGCATACTAAGTGCAATAAGATAGTAAACACTTGATTGTATATACGTTAATGTACCAATTAAAACCAGTGTCTATGCTATAACCCATCAAAGATGTGAGGCTTCACTTGTTTGAGACATTTATTTTAACTTTACATCTCAATAAATGTAAAACAAATGTAACAAAATGCACCATAGATTCTTGATTGTCACACTTAAGTATAATTTCTTCTTTGATTCTGTTTGTACTATCACCCTTTACAACAGTGAGTGAAAACCAGAGGTCAAAGTTCAGCCTGTCTGCAAACCAATCAGCCTGCACCTGTAACCCCTCAGCAGTTAGAAGAAGGCCACTGATGTGCCAGTTAACCAGTGTATCGTTTTACATGGACAAAGATTATCTATACACAGGTGGTACGTCAACTTTGATGCGTAAAGCGCTGACGGGGTCTTGACAGAACACCGAGATGTATTCCAACACTTTAGAATTTAGCTTTTTCTCGCCCTCTTTGGCCCTGTGCCGCTCCTTGTCCCATCTATCCTTCTCGCCGTTCATTTGGGAGAACAGGTTGACCTGGATGGTGCGCAGCGTGGCCGCCAGGACGTAAAAGCCTCCCTGCATCATGTGGCAGAAGGCGGCGCCCACGCTCAGCGCTGCGCCCATCAGGTTGGGCACCGTCTCGCACACCACGCAAAAGCCCTCCAGGAAGTGCAGCGTGCCTTTCCTGGCCAGAGGCTGGCCCTGGTGGAGGTAGCCGCCGTGTTGAGACGGGGTTTGCTGGACATGGTTGAACAGGTATCTCGCGCCGTCGGCGAAGTGGGTGGCGGCCCGGCGCAGCGGGAGAAGGGCCAGGTACAGGTGACATGCAGCTTTGGTGAGAGCGTGGAAGAGCAGCCGCAGCTCAAGCACGGCGTTGCCTGGGGATAAGAGGGTAACGGGGTCAGCTGGAGTCTAATTTAACACCCTGGCTAATGTCAGCAACCATTACAAACAGCGTCTGCCACTGGATTAAAGTGTTCACCAGCCATGTGGACGGCGGGTATCACCTGAGCACGCAAAGCAGGGGGCCGGGCGCGTCATTACGCACGGGACCCATCCTCTGACAAATATCACACATCTTTTAGTCCACATAAAGCCTTAAAATTATGCCTACTGCTAGTACAAGTTCAGCTTTGTCAAGATTATGTCCTGACACAGGCAAGCATGAGAACTTTTTAGTGTACAGTCTCAAAAATGCCCCAGTTAATCTTAAAACAAGTTGTCTTAAGACATTACAGATATCTTTAAGGAAGATTGCGCTGCTCGTGCGCAAAAGCAGGCCTTCTTACCTTTATTCCATGCAACATAACTCTTAAAAGTCTAACAGGGTGGCATGCACTACCTTTCTTCTAATCAAGCTCAGTTTGGGAAACGTAAAATGAAAACAGTGTCATGATTTCCTGGTAAGACGTCCCAGTGCGCTATGCGTACTTTGATAGATTTTACGCACTAAATTCTTAACTGCAAGGTGTGATCATTTCTACATTTACCAAGCAAAATATACAGTAATAGACTACTTTATATAAAATACAGAGAGAGAATATAGTCTCGTTTCCTCTGCTGTGATTTTATGACAGCTGTTTCCGCCATAAGGTGCCACAGCGTTCTTGAAAAGCCTCCAAATCTCCACCGACTACATTTTCCTCTTACCGTCTATAAAGCAGAAAATCCAGAGCAGGGCAATACACGCTGCCAACCAAGTCAACCAATCCATGTGGTCTCCCCCCTGTCCTGGACTCGGCAACGAAAAGAAAGAAAGCAGTGGAACCCCCCAAGTTATGATGTGGCCAAGCCCTGCCCTGCCTTTACGCAGCTAATACCTGAACATTAAGTAGTCGCATCGCAGCCTGTGAGCGACACCTTCAAGGTGCACTTGAGGTGTCAACAGGCGCATTAGGACCAACAGACTACGACTCTTCAACCTACTGCACCCCATAGTGTCTCGGAAATGGACACTTGTTGCTTTAGTGGAGAACAGAAGAGATTCTATCAGTGATTTAAGGGATTATTTTAAACATTTTAAGAGTAATTATTTAAAAAACTAAATAAATAAATAAAGCATTTCCTCCCACACAGTTCTAAATCATAGGCTTTCCCAGTGTTTGACTCTCTCCTCTTCCTCACTCCTGATCTCTGAATATATCAATCACATTCATTTTTCACAAAAATTATGTATTAGGCCTAAATGATCGTTTCTAATGCCTTAGAGAGGATCCCTTAGCTCCCAGTGTGTGCAAATCTAGCCTTGGGTTTACTACCAAGGCAGTCTGCCACCAAGTTTGTCTAGACACACGTGAGTGCCAGACAAGATGGGAGCACTCACCTTGCCCAAAATACATACTGTAGTTTTTATCATTTTAATGAAAAATAAATAAACAACTAAAAAAAAATAAAATAAATATAATGCAGTGGTGTGATAGAGGCGGCTAGGTACGCATAATCATAACTAAGCATCTAACTCTGCATGTGTTTTGTGCCTGTGGTGTTGCCATACAGCAGAAGCTGCTGAGTACAATTAATGTCAAACAGTGTAGGTACTCACTCTCTACTTCATTACTGCCAAATGTCTTAAAAGTGGAAAACTCAATGTTATATGAATATTATGTCAC